CAAGTGGTAGGAGGCCTTTCTCTTACGCCACTTTTTCCCCTAGTGGAAGCCGAGTTTGCTCGCAGGTGTACGTAAAGTTAAGAGGGTGAATGCAAATATAGATATATTTTAGAACAATGATTTTCCCGCAGCATTTCATTTTTTAATGTTATCACTTTTTGCCACAACTGTAACGTTTCTTCTGATATATTCCCATCAAAATCTTGCTCCCATTGAATACTTAACAACTGTCTATATTCCGTTTCAATATCACTTAATCTCTTTTTGGGTATAAATTCTAATCAACTTTTCGGCTGATATTCTTTACCCGAGAAAAAAGTTTAAGTTGCAGCCTCTGAATCCCGCCAATCATCACTCACCAGCATAAGAGTTGGATAGAAACCGACAAAAAAACAAATAAAGAAACAACAAAAAGTAGACAAATTTATTTGCAATGAAGCGCCGAATCTGACCACACTATCACTGACTATAGTATACTTATATGTGTATATACTATACCATGCGTATTTTACGTACCCACCACTGGGCGTCACCCATGCGAAATCGCAATGACGTCGCATCGCTTGTCTGCACCGGGCCTTAGTCATCAAAAGGAAGATCTGGGAGGATCAATGAAAAGCAGCCAGCAACATGCGCGTGATCTAGGACTCTTATTTTTACCGGATGATTTCCATAGTTACCTAACCTTTTAGAATCATGCTACTTTGAGCGTGTCATTACTAATTTTACATTCATGGTTGCGTCGGTTCATAGTTTAAGCGGTTTAAACTGCCGGTTGACAGTGAATAAAAATAAAAGCGCGTGATTATTAAAATACATTCGATCAACCCTTTATGAAATGAACAAAAATGAGTCGACAAGTAGATATGGACCCCTCGTCGGTGCAATCGATGAAGGGACAAGTAGTGCTAGATTTTTGGTAATTAAGTTTTATTTCTTACTTATGATTCAATTGCGTATATTTATGAAAGTTTCAATTTTGTATAGACCATTTTACAGATATCAAAGTCGAAGACAAATTTACTTCGTCTATTAAGGAATTTATTAAATTAAATAAAACAAAAATAATACGTTCCTTTATGTATTTTGAATCTCTGTATTTGCTATAAATGCACAGAATCTGCAATCTACTTGTAATGTAAATATAACTCCCTTCTAGCTAAATTAGATACAGTTTTCTGTGGAAGTATGTGTGTATGAATGTACAATGTAATTTTTTATTTGGAAATTAATATTTTTTACTGACATACTGATAGTTAGTGCAATAATAATTCAAATTTAATCATTTTTCAATTAGAAGCTCAATAATAATATAATTAATTATGTGTAAATATGAATAATTATACCTGATTGTTCATATATCAAATTCTTAAATTACAATGGTGACATTTATTTAAATATTCCAGGTGTTTGCTGCAAACACAGCAGAAGTATTGACATATCATCAAGTTTCAATATCTCAGTCGCATCCAAAGGAAGGATGGGTGGAACAAGATCCTATGGAAATACTTAGGGCTGTTAGAGAATGCCTCCATCAAACTATATTCAATTTAAAACAACTTACCATAGATCCTAGTGATATAGTTGCAATTGGTGTAACAAACCAAAGAGAAACTACAGTTGTATGGGACTCTGTTACAGGAGAACCATTATATAATGCTATAGGTAATATCTAATGATTAGATTTATTTGTAATTATAATACTAAACAAAGTTTTAAGTCTATGATCTTATAGTCTGGATGGACATGAGAACAACTTCAGTAGTAGATGATATATTGAAGAAAATACGTAATCAAAATAAAAATTATTTGAAACCACTTTGTGGTCTACCAATTAGTCCATATTTCAGTGCTTTGAAGTTAAAGTGGTTATTACAGAATGTACCTTCTGTTCGAGAAGCACTAGATACAGAACGATGTATGTGTGGTACAATTGATTCTTGGTTAATCTGGGTAAGTTTCATAGATTCGTTTATTGGTATTTATTTTTCTTGTAAAATATATCTGAAAAACTTCTTTTGATTGTAGAATTTAACTGGAGGAACAAATTTTGGTGTTCATGCTACTGATGTTACCAATGCTTCAAGAACAATGCTAATGAATATCACAACATTAAAATGGGATCCAACTTTGTTACAGTTTTTTAGTATACCGCCAGAAATATTACCAGAGATTCGTAGTTCATCAGAAATTTATGGTTATATTCAGGATGATATTCTAGCTGGAGTTCCAATATCAGGAGTATGTAGTTTCAATTTAAAAAATGAACATTTTTAAAATAGCATCTCAGCAACACAGATAATAAGTAAATACTTAAATAGTGTTTAGGTGATCAACAAGCAGCACTTGTGGGTCAAATGTGTCTACAAAGAGGTCAGGCAAAAAGCACTTATGGCACTGGTTGTTTTCTTTTATATAATACTGGAACTGCTGTAAGGCCAACTTTAATATTTCTAATAAAACTTTCTCGTGAACAATGTACCAATAAATAATTTTTAAGATTGTAGACTCATCTCATGGTTTACTGACAACAGTTGCTTACCAATTAGGACCACAAGCTCCACCTGTATATGCCCTTGAAGGTTCTATAGCAATAGCTGGAGCAGTTATTCAGTGGTTAAAAGATAATCTAGGTATATTAGCAGACATAAAGGAATCTGAAGTTGTAGTTGAACAAGTTGCTGCAGATAATCATGTTACATTTGTGCCTGCATTTGCTGGGTTATATTCTCCATATTGGAGAAAAGATGCAAGAAGGTAAATAGAACAATAACATGGCATTTTTATTTATTTATGATATAGTAATATAGAAGACTTTCAATAATGTTACTACCACATATCTGTTGCAAAGTATCATTATTTCAGTGTTATATGTGGAATTACAGAGGACACTAATAGTGCTCATGTCATAAAAGCAGCATTGCAAGCCATTTGTTTTCAGACAAAAGATATTTTGGAAGCCATGAAAGAAGATACTGGATTAACGTTGTCTAAATTGCTAGTAGATGGTGCAATGACTAACAATAATCTATTAATGCAAATGCAAGCTGACATTTGTGGAATTCCAATTGGTAAGTGAAATACTGTATATTTAATGTTAACAAAGATTTATTTTTCTTGTATACATAAAAAATTTCGGAATAAATAAGTATCTTATTAAATTGACATTCTTACAAGAAAGTCAGGCCTTTAATGTGTGAGACTACCGCACTAGGAGTTGCAATAGCTGCAGGAAGTGCAGATGGTATACGTAAATGGAATGTGAAAACACATGCAGCTGTACCAAGTGATACTTTTGTTCCATCAATAACAGAAAATGGTAAGTTTGTTAAGTACTTTGCGTTCATTCAATACCTAAAACATAATGATGATATTTGATATAGAACGAGATATACTGTATTCACAATGGAAAATGGCCATCGATCGTAGTTTAGGTTGGGAACCAGTATCAAATGCCAATGGTAAATATAATTATGTAATAAGATTATATGATTCATTTACAAATCTGAATAATTCATTCACAGTTGATACAAAGAATATTCATAAGGCAACTGCCCCTGGTATTTTTATGATAAGTACAATAATATTACTTATGATTGCTAAGCATCATTCTGTGTTGTGATCAACGAGTACAGTACTATGTACTGTGTTTATATCAGATAATGCATTTAGGCAGGTCCTGTTTGCTGTAAAGTATTTAACAAATTGTTGCATAATGTAACTGTACTGGTCAGTATACTTTGTATAGTAATTATAAGTATTGAGACAAACTGAAAGAAATACAAATAAAGGTGCCATAATACTGTGATAATTATGCTACTAAATGAAATGTAGAAAATCAAAGAAATGGTATTTGGCGGTAAAAGAAATTTATAATCTATTTCAAGTACAAACAATCGTTTTGCTTTGTGTTACTTAAATCGGACGGCAGATTGTCGATTATTTGAGCTTCGGTATCGGCTGCACGTTTACTTATTCCTTTATTCTTTCTGGTTACTATTGTTCCATTTACCTGACATAAGATTTAACTAATAGTTACTGATAACTGGTAACATGATGATTAAAACTGATACTCAGCATTACCATTGAAGTATCACTAGTAGAAGTTTGAGCTGTAACAAGAGACGCAGCAAGCCATGTATCATTTCTTATATTACCAATACGTAATCGTGTTCGTTGTGGTACAAGTATTCGAGAGATAAGGGAACGACAAGCTTGAGACACCACTGGTTCTTTTGGAAATGCAAGTCTACTTTGTACTTGCTATATTAAAACGAGAAAATAAGCCACTGTGGCAGAAATACTATTTAAGAACTAATATTGTTATGTAAAAGAAAATTTTAGATTGCATTATTTTATATAGCTTTCTTTTAATGTACCTGGGTACCTTTAGAAGTTGACTGTAATTTGTGTCGTCAAATGGTAGCCGACCATAAACCATCACATATAGTACTACACCCATGGACCATACATCAGATAATTGAGGTAAGTATGGGATTCCCTTTAATATTTCAGGTGACGCGTAAGCATAACTTCCGCAAAAAGTTTCACTCAGTGGAGATATACCATTTTTTGTTATCATCTGTCCTCGTGCAAATCCAAAATCGGATAATTTGATATTGAAATTACAATCCATTAAAAGATTTTCACACTTTATGTCCCTAAATAAAATTGATTAATTATCTGCGATAATACTGGATAATTGTGTACAGTATAATTTGTGACTTAAGGAAAGGAATGAATTTATAATTTCTATGGTTTGACCATTGAGTATAAGATTTTCACGACCTTTTATTATCCCTTTTTACCTATGCACTATGCCACGTCCGTGACAATAATCAATTGCCTCCAATAATTGCCGAAACCATCTACGACTACGAAATTCATCAATGTACGTATCTCGTCTTATTATGTCCAGCAAGCTACCATTTTGAGCGTACTCCATAATAATGTATACGCTAAATATTAATAATTCATAGTAATCAGACATATTTAACGAAAAGAGTTTTTGGCACAATCATTTATATGAAGTAGCATAAAGAAACTAACTAACCGATGGGTTGTTTCAATGGCTTGTAAAAAGCGAATTAAATTCGGATGCTTTAAACCTTTAACTACTTCGATCTCTCGCGGCAAAAATTTCCTTAAGTATTCGCCTGGTGCTTGAAACTTTGAAATAATTTTTACTGCTACTTGGCAATTATGTCGATCAGATTTTGCTACCTTCATATTATATATTTTAATGACAATTTTTTATCACACGTTTAAATTTACCAGTTTCGATATAAATATTGCAGTTCGACAAATTATTTACTACATGCATAACGTACTTTTACGGTAGCATATGAACCAGCGCCTATCGTTTTTCCAAGGGCATAACCATGGGTCTCAAGGACAGTTAATTTCTTTCCTGTTTTTTCTTCATCACTTTCTTCGATGGGTATCAACGGGGATTTATTATCAGTAACTGGAGCAGTTGCCATTTTACGTAAAGGTAACTGTTTTGGCTTTATCAAATAATTATTGTAAAATTTGCGGAAATGTGTTTTTATTATTATTAATTCTTACTTTATTTCGGGTACGTGCAACGCCGACATTTTACTTGTTAAGTTACATTTTTCAGGAAAACTTTTTCTAAAGAGTAAGTGGAAGTTGCATGATGGGTGTTGGTTTCATGACTACGCATTGAAATTTGGCGCGATGCTCTTCATGAAGTACCAAATAATCGATTGTGAACACCTGAAACGCGATTTATTATTGATGCGTCATGTTTTACTAATATCAGTAAAATTTACTCTAATACTCTAAATACTCTAATAAATACAAAAGTATAATTTTAAATAATTTATAAGTACTGGTATAAATGTTTCGATTTAAAGTGAATTAGAATTAATTGAACTTAATGTATTAAGAGGACAGATACACCTAGAAATTTAAAAATTTACGATTTTTTTATTTTTACACATTCGTGATTTCTCGTGATTGTTTCTGATTGGTAGAGAAACCTAACAGTTCTTTACACGCGACACATAATCTGTATATTTTATATTAACGATATCAAAACAAAAATTCGAGTTATATCGTATAAAGTGAAGGAATAATTAGAAACAATGAAGAATAATGAATAAATTAATGATTATAAATTATAATCTACATGTTACCTAGCAAATCATTCTTTTAGAATTTCTTGTTTTTTCTACTGATTTTTACAAACACAAATAGTAATGTAATTCGTCGTAAAATCATCATCGTGAGGTGAGTACGTGGGGTCACAGAACCCCTGCAGGAGGCGCCAGAGACATCGCAGAATAGATGGCGCCGAATGTTAACGTACCTTAATAATTTCTATCTCAAAAAATTGTGCCCAATTTGCTCCCTCCGAATCTCAAATTATTCCTGATGACTTAATGTGTAGATCCAATACTGCAGAACACCAGAATTAGTGCAATTATTTATGTTACTATTAACGTTGACCTCTTACGGAGTGGCAACCCTAACAACAGATTTGGATTACATTTACACGGCTGAACGGGCATCATTTTTCTTCGTCACGCATTAGATTCGAAGTTTAAAGAATTTAGATTAGTACTCTCTAGCAGCTCGGAACCGGTAATTACAAGAATATTGTTAAATTCACAACTGTTTGTTACGATTGACAGTGTATGCCGTCATGCATACCCCGTTTAGTTCACTTTAGACAGCTGTTGCACCGTTATACGGATAGCTTTCGTCTAGATAAAGCACTCGATTTGTAGCTTAAAAAACGTAGATTAATCCCCTCTCATTAACAATAACAATAAACGACCAGAACATTGTCAAAATCGCATTTAATCGCGGAATACCACTCTTTTTTCGACCGGTGGCGCCACCCGTAGCAATTTGCTCAAACTACTAGCCAAATCATACCGACAGGTGAGTGAAAATTTCTAGTGATGGAAAAATGCAAATATCTCAATAATTAAGTACTTAAAATGAACATCATTAGTCTCAAATTGTTTCTCAGGATATAATGCATGGACCCAATATTGCAGAGCCCCTGAATTAGTAAAATTAGTTATGCCTGTATTACCGTAGCCCCTTGTGGGGCGGCAACCCTAATTGCAAAAGATTTCAATTGCATTCACACCGCTAAACGGGCATGATTCTTCTTCGTTTTGCATTATCGGTAACGTTGGGTAGTGACAATTGAACGGTGTTGGGGTTCTTCGGCCCCAAACAACGAGGCGACGTCACCTAGAAAAATGGGCCGAAGAAATATATTGGACGAAAGATCTACTCTCTATGTACATTGACATGCAAACCCTACTTCCGATAGGGGAAAAAGTGGCGTAGGGAAAATTATTCCAAGTACTGAAATAAATATTAAATTGAATGTTAATTTGATATACATTTTAATAATTCTCGAAACCAAATGGCAGGAGGTCCTTCCCTTCGTCACTTTTTCCCCTAGTGGAAGCCGAGTTTGCTCCTAAGTGCACCTCGTTTGTGGTCCCATTTATCGATTATGTATTTTCGCTAGCGCTCGTTTGTTTACATCTGCGCTTCCAACGATTGGAAATTGGCCCCGAACGAGTCTCCCCGGTCTCCAACCTTAACAGACCTGTTTGATTAGAACAGATTAGAAGCTGCTAGAAGTAAGGGAAGTCCGTAGGAAAGTAATTATGGCAGATGTTTTAGATATTGATAATGCGGAAGAATTTGAAGTTGATGATGAAGGCGACCGTAAGTTTACACATCATTTAGTTCAGTTTTATGGTCAGATATAGACATTTGTTCACATAACCTTTTCCATTGAATTTTCAATCTTGTTTCATTACATTGAAAGTATGTTTTATTATGCGTTTGTGATATTATTCGTCGCTTTCAGAGGGTATTGCCCGTTTAAAAGAAAAAGCGAAAAGAAGAAAAGGTAGAGGACATGGAGCGGAATTAGTTTCCACTCGTGACGATGTTGGTCATTATGAGTCGATGAACATCGTTGAGGAGGATGATGACGAGCCGGGTCCACAAAGATGTAAGATTAATAAATTATTCCATTATACTCTTTTTACAATAGTAATTGTAATATATAATTAATTTTACGAAAATTGTTTATTTAAACATTTAGAATTTTCGATTATTTAAGGTATTTTATAATTATAAATTAATTTTTGTGTCTGTAGCTGTAGAAGGCTGGATTCTGTTTATAAATTCAGTACATGAAGAAGCACAGGAAGATGATATTCAAGACAAGTTTTCTGAATTTGGTCAAATAAAGAATTTACATTTAAATTTGGACAGAAGAACAGGTTTTTTAAAGGGGTATGCCTTGGTAGAGTATGAAACATTCAAAGAAGCTCAAGCAGCAAAGGATGCATTAAATGGAACAGAAATCTTAGGTCAACCTATTTCTGTTGATTGGTGTTTCGTAAAAGGACCAAAGAAGTAAAACATATTCTACTTTTAAATTTGAATGAAATTTTACTATGAATTAATTACCATTACATTTGTTTGTTTTTTCAGGATAAAGAAGAGAAGTCATAGAAGGCGATAAAAATAAAAATAATTATTAAATAAAACGTTTATTTTCATTATGTGACTATTTAAAATAGATTTTTTGTATTTCATAGAATTTGTAAAGATTACATGTTGGAAATAATATACTGTACAACAAAAGCTGCCTATATTCTATAAAATCTGACCATTTAAAAGTATCTTCTGTAAGGAAATAATTTAGATAAGAATAAATATGTAGAAGTAAAAAGTGAAATAAATTAGACATCTTTCATTCACATTTCTTTAATGTAAATTTTAATTAACATCAAATCGTGATAATTAGGGGAATAATGAAAAATACGCAAAATGAAAATGTTTTTCCAGTTGTCACCTGTATACCATTAGATTTACAAATTAAAAGTTGAACATACAAAAATGTACTTTTTATATGATTTAATATGTTCATATTATCCTAATTACTTTACAAACGTATATCGTACATTTATCTTGTATATGAAATTTCTTTCCACAATTATATAATCTCTGTTCTGTTTTTACAGAAAGTAATTTATTAAATAAGTCATATTAAGCATAGTAATTGAGATTAGCTTTCTTCTTTGCTTGAACTTCATTAATTGCTTCCATTAAATCCTCGTGTGTAACTGCAGTCGCATTACGTCTTAATGCTATCATACCCTACAAAAAGAAAAGAAAAACTTAATAGGTATGTCGCTTGAGTTACGGCTCTTAACCGTTTCACTGTGGATAAGCGCGATGGCGTTCCTCACTTATAATACTTAAACGACGATATCGCCGTATAGTGACACTGTCATACCGTCGAACCAAAGGATGTCCGCAGTCAAGCGGTTAAATATGATTATACTACATACCGCTTCTACGCAAACAGCTTTACACTGCGCGCCATTAAAGTCATCAGTAGACCTGGACAATTCTTCGAAATTCACATCTGGAGACATATTCATTTTTCGTGAATGAATCTGCATTATTCGTGCTCTGGCTTCTTCATTAGGATGTGGAAATTCTATTTTCCTGTCCAATCGACCGGATCTCAATAAAGCAGGATCTAAGATATCTACTCTGTTTGTAGCAGCTATAACTTTGATATTTGCAGTTGAACTGAATCCATCTAGCTGATTCAATAGCTCTAACATAGTACGTTGTACTTCTCTATCACCAGCTTTTTCAGAATCAAATCTTTTAGTACCAATTGCATCCAATTCATCGATAAAAATAATTGCAGGTGCTTTTTCTTTTGCAAGTGAGAATGCATCTCTTACCAATTTTGCACCATCTCCAATGAACATTTGAACAAGTTGTGGTCCTGCTAGCTTGAGGAAAGTAGATTTAGTTTGTGCTGCACAAGCTCTAGCCAATAAAGTTTTACCAGTTCCTGGTGGCCCATATAAAAGTACACCTTTTGGTGGTTGAATACCAAGGTTTTCGAATTTTGCTTTATGTGTCATGGGTAAGACTACAGCTTCTATTAATTCCTGAATTTGTTTGTCTAGACCACCAATGTCTGAATACTGTTCTGTTGGTCTTTCGTCTACTTCCATAGCTTTAACTCTTGCATCATACTCAGCAGGCAATGTTTCGAGAACCAAATAGCTGTCTTTATTAACACCTACCAAATCACCTGGTTTTAAGGCTTCTGCATCCACTAATCCAATAACAGGTAAAAAGTATGTTTGTCGAGTAGAAGTTTTAATAACAGCACATTTGCCTTTTCGTAGTGCATCCAAATCAACAACTGCACCATCTTCTTCTCCCATATCTTGGGGATCAACATCTAACAACTCTATGACATTAGATACCAAGTAAGGTAAAGTTTTGTTTACTTTTATCTTTTCTGTATTCTCTTTAATTTTGTCATTTTGTGCCTGAAGTTCATGAGATATGCGCAGAACCTCACTCTTCATAATTTTAATTTCATTATCTAATAAACGTGTACGAGATACAATTTCATCAGTAGACATTCTTAAAACATCATCCCCCAAACTCTCCTAGAAAGAGATATGCTTCTTAGGTTTTGATTTTGTGCTAATATCAGTAAATAGATATAATGAAATTGTATAATTTTGGTATACCAAATACTTATTTTATTGTTATTCTTAGTCCATTTATCATAATGTGCGGATTAATAATTTTTGCAAAAAATGTTTGGCATTTATCAGTTAATGTTTACAGTGTTCAAATAAAGAATGTTTGTTAATTCTTGAAAGTTAGGCTGAATACCAGAGAATCAATTCTTAGCATAAATATATTTAAATAAACATGATTAAAATCATACGAACATTTCTCTATGTAATTTTTCAATTAAAAACAATGAGATATAAAATATAATAAATTATATTGTTTTTCGTGTTAATTTATATGTGCTCGTCATTCTGTCATAACCTCTACAAAATGAAGTTTAAAATTTACACATTTTACCTCTCCATCTTCCCAGATAGATTTGTCCTCAAGGGTAGCCATTTATTTGAACAAATTTAATAACTTCAAACTTATACAATTTGATATTTTCTGCGTAGATAATTCTTTCTGGAACTCTATTCAAGTATGAACAACAAAATTTATAGAATACAGTGGAATACAGCAGAATACAGTCGGCAACAGTCAGTCAGTCAGTTTGTAATTCACTCAAGAGTTTCTTATAATTAGTCTATGGTTTTGAATGTGAACCATAGACATATATCATAGACTACGCGGTATTATGGTAGGGGTGAAGTCGTGATCGAAGGATAGAAGTAGCGCTGGAGTAGTTCGTCTCTTGCTCGCACATCGCAGAGGGAGGAGAGAAAGAGACTGGCGGGCGATGAGAAGAAGGAATGCTATACGCAGCTGCACGCATTAGAACGCATATAATCACATGTAATGCCTGGTAAAGCCTACACGCAGTCGTAGGAGAATCACCCACCACAGCTCCATTAGAAAAAGAAATAGCTGCTCCTGTTATTGCCCTCTCTCTCTCTCATGTCGACTTCAGCCCTACCATAAGACCGCACAGTCTATTATACAGGATGTAACAAAAATGTTGGAAGACCCGGAAATGGTAATTCGTGAGGTGATTTGAAACAAGTTTTTCCTTAGCAAAAATGTTATCTAAGGCGTTGTTAACGAATCAGAGCGCGTGTGGTCATTAATTAAAGCAGAATATATGAAAACTCGTACTTCTGCAGCATGATATGCATCGAAAGCTAGGATTGACAGAGACGTGGATACAGGAGTATTGAAACACATTTTGGTTGATAAAACTTATATTTCTCATATATACTTATATATTTTGTACGGAAACATCGATTGCAGCGCTGTCTGGCTACCGGAAGATTCATGAAACTTTCGGTCTTCCTTAATGGATCACCCTCACCACGGAAGTTTCCGGATCTGTATATACGGCTGTGCTTCAGCAGCAGTTTGAAATTTTATTTTTCAATAAAACCATTACTAACGTATTTGTGAGATTTTTCTGATTAAAGTGATACCAAACACGGTATAATTTGTGTCACATTTACTTATTGATCATTTATAGCACTTAATCAATATTAATAAGTAAATCTTATTCAAATTGTATCGTATTTAGTCTTGGTTTAATCACAAAAATCTAAAAGATACGTTGGTAAAAGTTTTATTGTAAAATAATACAAAATAAAAAATTTGCATCGTTGCATTAATGTTGCCTTACCAATACGCTGGCATGTAAACTCTATCGTCGCCTCGACACTCAGTCCCTCGTTCTTTTTCACTTGCTGTCCGTTTCTACGTTCGGCGTTGGATTCTATATTGTGAATCGTTTCCTGTACTACGTAGCTACCCGGGCTCCAGTCCCAATTTTCGGGTACTATCGAAGATTTTACTGTATTCTCAATTCGAGTATAGAAATTATTTAATTCCAGATTATTCATTTTGAAGAAACTTTATTGTACAAATTGTAAAGTTTGGATAAGCTTATCACCATCGAATACATAAACAATAAATTTCCATTACGTGCTAGTGAACATGGATTATTTTTATAAATTATGTCGAAGTTTCGACGAACGTTCTTTTTCTCTCCATTTCGAGGCCGAATGTCATATTCATTGTATTAATCTGTTTTTGTTACACTCATTCGAGCAAAAATCGCCCGAATTTTCACCCTTAAAGACCATTACAAGCTTCCGGCACCTTACTATCATTAATACAACTTTGAGCATTACAAATATTATGTATTATATATACATACATATATGTATACATAATACAAAACAAATTTTCCATCGCAATTGCCGCGCTTATTCACAAGCATTTCTTGCAAAATTCAAACAAACAATCTGTGTTTTCCTGCTGTAATATTATCGGCCATGTATGAATGAAAACGATAAATATGAATGTAAAAACGATGGAACGATAAAGTTTCAGGTTAGGTGTATTCAAAGAGAGAATTTAAAAAAAAAACATACCGTAAAATACTATTTTTTCAGTTTGCAAAGTAAATATTAGAATATAGGGCACAATTTATTTATTTCGACGAGGTGTATTATTTTCTTCTTACATGACCGGTACAATTCATATAAAAATTCATTCATTAAACGTAAGTAGACAATATGGCTTCTTAAAAATGGCCCTTCACGCAGCGGTCATATTTGTATACGCTTACAAAAACCTGATTTTATTGAACACGACACATGACTGATAGAGTAAAAAAGTGGTAACAACATTCAACACGAGAGTAAAAGTATGATCAATACGATCTTTTTCAGTTTAAAACTTGGTAACAGAGACTTCCGGTTTATATATATGTATGTACATAATGTTCTTTAATCAGACTTTCGATAAAATGTCTTTACTTACTGTGTAAGATTGACCGGCGATTAATCTACGCCCATAATCACTTTCATTTTTCTTTGACCGGTAAGTCGGTTCGTGAAGTCCGACTTACGAACTCTCAGTGAAAAATTGACTATAGTAAAAAATCGTAACAACTGTTATACCTGTTAAAAATTCTCATCCGTACCATTGGTATTTCTCATGCTTTCTGTACACTGAATACGATAAAATTTCGTTCAACTGTGAACACGTTCATGATACAGTCATACATACATATGTAATTATATTCTAGGTTTGAAACCATTGGCAATTCCTTCTTCTCATAAAGACTTTCGTCTTCCAGGATATTTACCATTTAACTTTATGGTTCGTTCACGTGTCAGCTTATCCCACAAGTAATAACACATTCATTGCGAACGGGATGATTTGACACTCATCAACAGTATAATTTTTAATAAAAAATTACGCTCATTTTAATCTAAATCCTATAGACATCCAACTTGGAATTCGAAATTCTTATAAACGGAACGTCAAGTTAAGCACATTTGAAAAATGAAACTACTAATTTACTACTAAATTACTTACTTTAGGAAAACGTGTATTGAAGGATTATTATAATTGTTGCGACAAAACAACGATGTATTGAGAAACTTGAATTTCAGTTGATGTCTATAGAATTAAGAATAAAATCGTCAAATGTACGACATTTCAGGTATCTACAATAAGTACACTGGTATTTATAGTAATACAGATTAATCGATTTGCTGTCTCGATTTCTTTAAGGTTTGGCAGATTCGCGTGGGCAGTTTTCTTGGAAATGTTCGCTGCTCGAGTGATCCAGCAACGAATTAAATAAATCTAATATGTAGGTAATCAGGAGATCACCGCTCCACAAACAATGAGCGTATAAAACCACGTGAGTCTTTTTCACGAAAACATTATTTTAAACGTCTAATAATCTCAAAAATACGAGTCAATTCAACGATTATCTAATCTCTGACTTAGGGATCAAATGAAGTATCGGTATCTCCATGGGTGTAGCCACATTATCAGTCAGAGTGGGGCAATGTAATTTTTTTCTTCTGGGGGATAGCAAAATCCAATTTTTTTCTTCTAGAACAGTGCAAATCCCACTTTTTCCGTCCAGAGGGATGGGGCAAGTCGTCCTCTGCCCGCGGACTACTCCCATGGTTATCTCCCTTTTATTATACTTTTTTATTGAAATTTGCATCGATTAGAAGTCCTGATTTTTCTTTTCAGTTATTACCAAGGGACGGTTTACTTTTAACGAATCGGTTCTCGTTGTCAAACAAGCGATCGAATATCGAGGCTGATGGGCCGATTAGCCCCCGATGAATCACACCCGAACGAATACAATCGAATCTACATACGTCAGTTCCTGACGACGTTTCGAACGACTTTTTCTTTCTTTCAATCCTACGACGTTTGTGCTTTACGTGTTTCACATATAATAACGAGACGCCATACTATTGTCAAGAAGTGTTTTTCCCTATTCCGATCAATAGAGAATTCATATAAAAGAAACGATAGTTGGGTGGCTACAGTTGTCAAATGAAATAGCTGCACTTCACTGTTTACTGAGGTAATACGAGTGTTTCTATTCACTTATTTCTCATGGTTCAGACAGAACGGAATTATCGTTCGTTGGAACAGTTTCTCGGATAACGGGTCGGTGATTAAAGTCGCGAATTCGATAATCCGACGATCGATATCTCCGGTGGCTTTCTTTGAAACATCTTCCGCGTTTGTGCCGCCTGTCGTCGTGAGTCCGACGAATGAAATATTTGCGATCGCGTGGCGGGATCTCATTAAAAAGAATCGAGTCGATCTGTTTAATCGCCGGCTATGTCGTCGTCCTTCTCGGTTTCCGCTTCGTCCTCCTCGTCGCTCTCGACGCTTTGCACCAGCCGCGCGTATCTGCGTAAGAAACGGGAAACCATTCATTTTAATGTTATATACCGTGCGACTGACAAAGAAGGTTTCTCAAACCGCAGGTCCCGATTTTCATGGAACTTTGTGGGATTGTCGAGGGCATCGAGTTATGCAAGGAACAATTTTTTTATAGTCCATGAAATTAGACAGAAATATAGGCAATCTGCGGAATAATTCCGATCAAGCTGCATTTTGGTATGGACCTTTATTTCGTTGTTTTAAACAATATGTAAAAACTCTAAGATTTTACAGACTGTCAAAGGTAAAAAAAAGTGTTTCGCAAATGTATCGTTAGTTGTCCGTTCTAGGGCAAAAATAGTTATTATCAAATGTTTAGGTGAGGAAATTCTTTAGAAAAAAGGTTCTCTAAGTTTTTTTCGTAGGAGTAACCATTTTCAGGTATGACGGCTTACAAAGTTACAACCTTCATATTTCTGAGAAATAATGTACTTCTTTCTGCGAAGTAGTCTATGCCTGATTAAAGTGGACGAATACGGTGGATAATCAAACTGTGAGATACCTTCCGAGATCAAAATGTTGCGTAAACTCATGACTAGTGAAGTCAAAAGTTTCGACCGTTACTCTTTCCATCAGCCGAAAGAAGAATTATCAGAGTGATTTTCAGAGTTTCAATAATTATTATTATTATTATTTTACGGAAAACTGCTGTTTTAATTTCCGTTCGAAAACTTTTGGGACAAACAGTGTATATACCATATATCAGTTTAAATAAATGTAAATATAGTTGAACATGAAATTGTTTTTAACATTTTGAATACTAAAATGTACGGGACTGTTTTCATGAGAAACGAAATAAATTCTGAATTTTTAGTTTTCAAAGAAAATTTTTACCTGACGGTGTATCAGACAGGAGTAGTTTTCCTCAGTGTGTCGAAAGTCCATTCGCTACCTCTGACTGGTGGCGGCGGTGGTAGAGGTTCATCAAGATCGAAAGTCACGAACTCATGGTGAACACTTGGACTATATTCTTCTTCCTCTTCCTGTAGAACGTCGGCCGTCGTGCTGACCTGAAATTCATCCTGTTGTTGCATTCCAAAAACAACCCAATCAAACGGAAACCCGAAATTGAATTGACATTTATTTGTATAGATAGTATAAAAATGACAATTTTAACACATTCTTTAAATCTTCTAAGAATAATCTGTTTGAAAGAAATGGCATTATCTTGAAGTACGGTTTACGAGAATTAATTTAATACTAGATTCTTTTTTCAGGCTGTAATCGATAATGGGGGAATGATTATACGTTCTTATATTTCCAGGAAGAAAAGTAAAACGGAACGTACATATCAGTTTCAGTACAATAAACATTTTCTCTGTTTGAATTTATATGTTCAAATAATATTTTGTTCAATTTTGAATCATTAGTAGACTGCGGATTTTATGCATTTTAGTCTATAGGGCTTTGTGAAATATAATAGAGGACAAATCTTTCTTCACATGCAACGAGTTTTCTGATTTATTCTTGACCTAAATACTTAAAGGAAGAAAGAAATCACTACTTCTGTTCTTGTCTTTATAAATTACTTTATAAAATGTTGTATACAAATCCGCAGTCTAATTATTAGTAAACGCGTACACGTGAGATTGTAGTTTATGGTATTCATGTTTGTTTGAAATTCTAGGTAAAAATTTCCAGTGGCTAACATTCGATTCTAATTTGTGAAACATCTTATTTGTTGAAGATACGGAAATTGTCGAAATCGTTTAAAGTCACGTGAAAAGAGGAACCTTACTTTAACGCGAAGAGGAAGCTTTCCATTATTCTAGGGAATGTTTTACCGTTTGAGTGGTGAGATCCCTTGGAAATTGCCTAGAATAATCATGATAGTCCAAATTCGGCGGAGGCGGCAGGAATTCGTCGAAGTCGACATGGTCCACTGAATCCCTGCCGAAGAAATATCTTTTCTGATGCCTTTCGCACAGAAACCCACTGTGACCAATGGTCGCGTGATTCCCATGGTGTACGTGGTGATTTTCTAAATGATACACACCCTGAAAATAAATACTGCTAGAAAGAACAATTTAACAGTCCGAAACGGTAAGTACAAATTTCTTCCTCAATCGGAGAAACAAATTGTGTTACATAAATATTATTTATCATATTTATTGATAAACAAAACGAATAAAAAATATAATACAAAGTGAATAAAAAAGAGATTATTACAGCGAAAAATATACTTGAAACCCCAATCTGCATAATGATCAGGTATACACTTTATGGCAGAAAATTCTAATCGCTTTTGTATTAGCAATTTCATTAGTTCGAAAAAGAAAGATATTCATAAGACGATTTAGTTTAACTGTAATTATTAGGGTACATATTAAACGAGTACATTTAAAAGATTCTTGAAAGTATTGCCGGAATTGCTAAGAAACCGCTTATGTCTGTTCAATGGTTGACATGATCTACTTCCAATCATCTGCAAGCCGGAAAGCCTTCTGTTTTTCTCTCAGTTTTGTGTTTCTTTATGTTTTTTCTTTATGAATTTTTTATGATTGACATATATATCTAATCTCTGTTTAGTTTTCCTTTTTCATTTTTACCTAATTTCTTTTTATTACTTTAGAATTATTATCTTCTGCCTACTTCTCTTATTTTTCTTTTTATTTATTGTTACATTTGATGTCTTTGAAAAGCAAGTAGTAATCGTTAAAGTAGACAAAAAAGTTCTAATAATTACATTCCGAAAGTTAGTCTTGAATAATTTCAAAAAGATTTCATGCAACAATTGTTTTACTACACTTTATATTATCTTAAACATTTTTATATTATTTAAACAAGTTTCATATGTTGTATTTCTTTACTTAAAAGAACCAAATTCTACCTTTTAGATATCTCTAAAGAGTTAAACAATATTTTTTTACAAATCACACTCCCATAGCTTTACTCTACAATCACATAAATCATCATGTACATATGCATATACATATATTCAAGAAGTATCCGGACACTCACATGATGATTCTAATCAGTGAAATATTCTATGGATATTTATAAACATTTTTTACACGAAATGTCTTTATTGATTTGTAGAACTCTATCTCATCAGAAGTAAATATACATATTAAATAGTAATGGAAGAATGTAAGTAATATTCTTCAACAAATAATATCAATGAAATACTATGACCAAAGTTGAGTATAAATATATACAAATAATACCTGCGAAAGGAACAAACTTTAGCTGCCTTTTTCGAACGTCTATTGTATTTTTATGCGTTTAGATGAATATCAGTCGTGTAAAACAAAAAAGCATATCAGTTAGACGATATGGTTAGAATTAGTTTAAATTTAACAGTACAAAAGATAGCGAACTCAAGTTCTAAAGAAGAATTAACGTTAGGAGGACCTGGTACTGTAAAATTAGTCAAAGAAAGCCATTCAATTCTGTAAATAGCAACAGAATACATATACACAAATAGTTGTATTTATTGAAAAATAGTAACATTCCACTATCAATAATGTACTACGTCCAGATATTTATGGACTGTGGTGTACAGTGTATTCAGTGCACGGTATCGTGATGGTTCAAGTTTTCGATTCTATTCGACCAATTAGACGCACACTTTCGCCCCCCTTCCACCCCTCAAGCGCTTTCTAGTTCGAAAGTCTCAAAGGTCTGTCACAAAGCGAACCGATGCCTTAAAATTTCCGCCCCGTACGGGTGAAAACTACCTGGGGACGAGAAGTTAAGAGTGTCACTTGTTTCAGAGTACGATGGTATTGCGCGAGCGAGCACTTGGGGGACCGAGAGCTAACACTCGTTTCTACTTAGCGTTCCGTTTCGTTTTCGCCAGGTGCCTGTTTACCAGTTGAAATGTAATTTAAGTCCGGGTGTTTGATTGTAATTTACCGAGCGCGAGTCCGGGCATTTACTTTACGTTTGACCGAGCCGATGAGAGATTCGTCGAAGTGAATGCAGATAGGGGCTTCGGTGAAAAATTAATTAAACAAACGAAGCAACTTGGACAGAACGTTCGCCGTCTTGTAGATATTTGATCGGAATGAATTGATTAAACGCTTCTGACAGTAATATTTTCGCTTTAAGTTTCAAAGAATTCTCAAGAAATTCGTATCGTATCGTTGGCAAATTTTAATATAAACGTAATTGCCGCAGAATGTCGTGTGCGATACCACTCGAATGATCAAAAAGTTGTACGACGAAACTTCTCGCGCTGAAACTCGGAATTGTAAAGATAAACTTCACGTCCGAGTTTGCACTTCGTACACGGGAGACATAACCGCCTGGCTACTTAACTAAGCCAGAAGTATATTTACATAGAGATTTTATTTTTACGACGGGAGCCTGGAGATTGCGCGTGAATTTTTTAGGGAACGACTTATATCCTTTAAAACTTCTAAGAGTACCAGGGATCCGCGAGGTGCGACTGAAGAGTACAGTGAATTATTAAGGCGAGAGGATAAATCTTTGAGACAGCGTTCTTTTTCGTTATATGAAATCGAGAAGTTTCCTTGAACAAAGTTTTGATTTTTTAGAGTGTATTTTAAAACTGTCGAGGGTAATATAAATATTCATTCTTTTTCAATAAAATCTCTTTCAATCAAAAGATACACTGTATTTGCTATGTAAATGTATACAGTAGCGGACAAGTGAATTTGGACACAGACTTGTTTCTTTCTATTTGTTTTTATGGTGATTTTAGAAATGTTCTGCCCGTGGAATGTTTACTATTAGTTCGACGCTGGCTTTCACAAAAGTTACACAGAGATACCTACGTACTACAAAATATAAAATTAGCTTTATAAATTGTAACATAAATTGTAATCTAAAACATGAGTTTCATGAGAAAATCGTATTATATCTTCATTTTATCCATTTTAGGATAGTACGAAGGAAAAGTTTGCCAAAATTTTTAAAACATTAAATTATAAATGGCCAAAACGAAGGGTTGAAAAAAAAAAACAATTTTTTCAACGAGGTTACTTAGAACGTATATCGAAGCGTGGTTGACGTCAGAAATTAACGGTAAATATTTACAAAAGAGGATCCAGCTCCGATGACCTTGAGCTTGACATATGTTATTAAAATTATGAAGACCACATACTACCCAGTGTTAACCACGTACTCAACATTCCATCAAACACAAGACACACACGATGTGCTCTGGGGCTTGATGAGGAAAGATGTTTCCTGTTTTTGTAGATATCATTTACTAAACTTATGTTTAGTGGGATGTTGGGTGCGTGGTTCACACTGGGTGGTATGTCTTTAACGAACTCTGATCGATATATACTACCATTCATAAATTTAAATTTAACAAAATTTTTTTGCAAATATCTCGAAAACTAAGCCCGAGCGACGGGTGCATGTTCGTATAGAGAAAAGTTGTTCAGAATGTTGAGCTTGAGAACATATGTCAAGGTCAAGGTCATCGGAGCTGGGTCCCCTTTTGTAAATAATTACCAAAGTAACACTTAGACGGCCGCACTTTTAACAAAAAGTTGTGCTCTTGCCGTTGGCACATATTAACGAAAACTGGTGCTGTCGGCATACAGTACATTTATACCTTTGAGCGTTCGATTGTTTCCGAAGCGAATACCTTGATACACCACAATGTTGCACAACTTCTGTCGACACTTATTTGTACTTGTTTTGAAACATATTTATAGTCATTGGATTTATCACAGTTCGTTCTAGTGTAAAATATTAAAAAAGTTTTATAGTTTCACTTAAAAAACAAAAAGTAATTTTCATTTCTTCGAAAAGAATGCAGGTAAAGGAACTTTGCTTTACGAAAGTTATGCATACTGAAATACAATTCAACTCGTGTTTAACAGAATTTTTTTGTAAAGTGCAAGGAAAGTGCTGAAATTTCGTGGCGACACTTATGTGGAATACCTTGTATATTTGACCTTTTATTTTTTATTATTATTAAATAAAGTTTCGGCTTGCACGAAGTCGTTTCCGCTCGTAAAATTACCCTCGACACGTTGATATTCTGCCAAACAAATACCAAACGATTTCCAATCCGTATAATGGAAAGTTTTAAGCGGATGTTAATTCTGTCCAAGTTTCGAACTATGGATGAGCCGATCTCCGGCCGAATTCATGGAAAAGAAGCTAATACTACCAACCCCGTAATTTTTTCGCCTGGAATCTCTTCGTACCAGTTCCCTCTGGTGCCAAGAAATATACAAGAAAATGGCGTAAGTGCCAGCGACCTCGGTCGTGATGAAACCACTCACGTACAGCAGAAATGAGAATCCGTACCTGTAGGTAAAGGGTGGTCCCTGAAATCGCAAGATTGCTACGAAGATATTCATTCGTACAAGCGCGATACAGATAAGAACTAATCCGAGCCACCGTAGAAAATATGAGATATACAATTTCTTATAATACCGTCGGTACATACTGGAATTTCCTAGCGGATAGGAAATTTCAATATTAAAATGAAATATGTGTCGATTCAAAGTACAAGCAGACATTTATTACGCCCCGCGGGAAATTCTTCTAAACTGATAAATTAGGTGATTCTAATCAAGGAAACAGTTGTGTATTTTATTTAACATCCTTCTTCCAATGTTCATTTAAATTTAAGTTTCATACGTCGAATAGTTAATCAAATTTTTTCCTGTAGCTATTTTTCGATATTTATGTTTGATTTATTTTATAAATTAACACTGTGCTTTATAATAACCGAGAGCATCTTTTCGAGATGCGCATGTAAATATATAGGGTGGGTCATTTAAATAGGATTCCTCGAATATTTTAGAAACCGTTGATGATACCCGAAAATATTTCAGATAAAAGTTAAACGGTTTCGAGTGAGAAATAATTTAATTGTGTTCTTTTTTATAGTTAGTCATGTAGAGTCGATGCTGCTCGTCATTTCTTGTAAAGTACTATTAAGCTATTTATGCCGAAACATCATAAGTTTAGGAGATATTTTAATGTCAATATTGCGAAGTGGTATTAATAATACGATGTTTATTTTCTGAAAGTTGATGTACGAAATTACTTACATCCAATTATCCCCCCCCCCCCAAGCCATTCAACTTTTATTTGAAACATTTTTCGGTGTCATCACCGGTTTCGAAGATATTCGAGAGGATCGATTTAAATGATTCTCCCTGTATAGTCAGCCTACCTTTGTCAGCTTTTCAATCGAATTTAAACTTGTAAATAGGAGCGATAAAAATTCTTGCTTCTGTATGCAACATGTTTATTTTGTTTTGTATTATATTTGTGACTTGATTAATTTTGATACTGTAATTATTTTATAATTGTATAAATAAGAAATCCTTTGATCGTGGTACTTGGTCGGTTAGGGTAAATATGTATGAAGCTTTTCTGATGGATGGTATCTGATTTAAAATACGATGAAATTTTCCGCGGGACCTGATAAATTTTAAAAAGAAAATGTTTAAGCATCTTGAGAGTCACATTTCACTGACCTGAAACGACGACCTTGACCTAAGTTTACTACCAACTTCAGCTTTGAACACAGATATGTACATCACCATTCCCACCAGCATTAGTAAACCTGAAAGGGGAACCGATTTAATAACCTTATCTCGCTGCAACAGCTCCAGCGACAAATTTCACGGCGATTGGCCGGCTCAATAACGATCGATCGAGTAATCGTAACGCGATTGTTTAAACTTTAATCCGATCCCTTTTGCAGTGAATCTACGCTGTAACGTAACAGTCGAATGGAATCGGTCATGGCGAAATTTTTGTTAATTATCTTTACACATTAGAAATCATTCCTCTCTCGAACAAAATTAGGAGAATTCCTTTTAATTTTTTCATGTTTAATATCGCTTGTTAATCGAATCAAAATGGAAAAAAAAGTTATTACACGTATTATACAACAGAAAAATTTTGTTGTTTACTGTTGACCGTTTGCGGAAAAAGTTTAAATACACAGGTTATTCCACTTACGCTTTGAAAAGCACTCACTCATTGGAACACCGTGGTTCAAACAGAATCGGTAAAAAAAAGTACTGTCAGTATTGAACACTGAAATAGCGTAAAAATGTTTGATATTTGTAAATGGTATACAGAGGATAAAAGATTAAAAATTTTGTTATCTATTAAAACGTTTATTTATCCATAATGGTTCATTTCTAAATGATTTATGGACCAATTAAAAATAGTTTCATAAATCGTATAGAAGAATTAAAATTTAGACGTTGGAATATCATGTAGTCATTTTTAATTGCAATTTTTCAAATAAGTCAACGATCCTATTATAAAACAACTCGCAAACATAAAACAACGATGAAGAACGGAAAATTTTTTCGATTAATACTTCACGCGAATGTATTAATAAAACGTGTACAAAATTGACAACGCGAGAAGTGTCGATTGATCGTAACTAAAATTACTGCAGAGTTATTTACATAAACAAACGAGTTTTCATCGTCGAGATATTTACATTATCCAGAGTAGCCCGTGGCTCTAAATGAAACTTGTTAAATCTTTAATAGCGTCTTTAAAGTAATCGCGGAGGTGAAACGACCTTTCGAGCGAGGATTGGATTTTCTTTTTTTTATGGTTCTTGGACTCCATCGAAATACAAATTTCATTAGTGTCTTCACGGGAACGGGCTAGGAAACACAAAGATTCATGAGTTTACTTAATTTCCTGTTTTCTTGTTATTACTTAGACGTACGCCAAGTACACAGGGTAATTCATAAATGCATATCAATACTTCAGGAGGTATATCTACATACTAATATAAGAATAAAAAAACGTCATATGAACGTATGGCCGACACACCTTAGTTCTGGAGTTATGGACGATTAAAGAAAATATTTGTTAAGTGCCCGCCTAGTGCCTCAACCCACGATAACTGCACACCGTAGCATTAAGTTCCACACTCGCTCGAAAATATCAAGTATTCTTTGAACAATCTCAATCCCATTTTGTATCCTTTCTTGTAGATCGTGTACATTATTCACTTCTGTAGAATACACAATAGTTTTTAAATGGCCTCAAAAGTAATAGTCTAATGGTTTGAGATCGTGCACTTAACGAACATTTTGCATTTAACTAACGAGAGAACTGGTACACGCCGATTTTGATGCAACTTTGTACAAATGTTCACTAGACCTACCTAAGAATTTAGCCGTAATTCGTTCGTGCCCTCTTTTTTCTTTAAGGGAGAAATTAACCCTTTTATCCGGCCCTTCTATGTAAGTGCTTATAAATCTTAATTCACAAAAGATATCAAAAAATTGTTTAAATAAAAGTTATACTCTTTCTTGAGGCCCATAAATCCGTGTGAAAAATGTTTTGACAAAATGTTTTTTTTTTAATTTTCGTAAAAAAAGTATTTTTTTAAATATGACGTTTTCTTATTTATATTAGTCTGTAGATTTACCGTCTGGAGTATTTACCATGCAGTTATGAATCACCCTGTATACCAGTAGATGTATAACGTGAGCTGGGGGCACTTTATTACTCACCGGAAACTATGAAGACCACGCCGGCGACAAAGACGCAGAGTCGGTGTCTCGGGTGAGTAACGTGAGCAGTGAAGTAACAAACTTCGGCCACGACCAGCAGCGATGTTGCAGCGAGAAAGAACATCGCCGACTTGGTAACTGCATCTACGTAAAAAATATGGGTATGAAAGCGCCGAGGAATGGGAAAAGTTTCGGGCCGAAATTTTTTTCTTTGTCTCTCACGGAGCCGCTCCCTCGGTCATTACAAGAAGATACCGGGAAGCTGATGAGAGAAATTTGAAATGATAACGGTCTGTGTGGAGCGAATAAGTAACAGATTTTGCAAGTTCAACGGGAATCGAAGTCAGAAGTCTCGAAAACAGACGGAAAATTCAAGTCAACAGGCAACTTTTATAATCGCTTTTTTATTCATAAGTCAACTCGACGATCGAGAATCGGGGTACGTACAGAATTTTTACCGTAAAAGTAATAATTCCGTTATTTTTCACAGTGACCCTTGACAAATATGGGAATTTTCGAGTTGGCGTGAACTTGACAGAACGACGGAAAAGAGATTAAGTATTCTTATGACAGACTGCTTAGAAAAGAAATTTTAGGGCTTAGGATGAAAAAATTAGTAGGGAGTATTTATTTGTAACCGTTTCAAATGAGGAAAACTGAATATGTAAATATTTAGTAATTTATTCATTGGTTTAATAACATTGAAAAATGTTATTACAAACTGTTACACGATGGATGTGAAATTTAAATATATTACGGTGACCTGTTTCAAATATGTAAACGTTGATTTTTCATAAAACTTTTTAAAACTGATACATCTCCCCTTCCCTAAGTGGTGTAAACGATCGAAATATGCTTCTGTGAAATAACAAAATTTTCTACGTTGTACACATACAAACATACAATACATCTATCCCTCTAAAAAAATTGAACATTCTCCTGCCACTCAACGATGCACGGAAAAAATCCACTTCCAATTGTGCTTGACACAAATAATGTTAACATTTTGCAGTCTATCGATGGCACACAGACTACTATTGATATTCGTCACGTACAATCTATGATTGAATGTAGGAGTTTTGGAAGAAAATATAATATTAGGTCGTCCGGACAATTTGTGCCGTTTTTTGTCCGGTATCTCTATTATTACTTTTACTGCAGAAATGGAAAATTGTTTCGTACCGTGAATATACGCTGCCTTTGACATGTATCATCTATGTGAGTTATGTGTAGAACTTTTGTTTCTTCTCTGAGAAATACAAATCAAAAAGTACGATCTAGCACCGAGTGCAGTTCATTTACACAATATAAAAAAGTATAAATAATACTACAGTACTTCGATTGGGAAAGTGTGTAGCATTTATTCTGTGGCGGCACTAAGGTAAATGTCCCAGTGGTTGGACGTTTAAAGCGGAGGTTGCGGATACGAAGACTTTTTATATATTAAAATAATCTAGATTGGCAAAAAAGTACATTCAATCGATATAGCAGAACTTCTTTTTCCAGACAAGTTGTTATAAGAAAGTGTTCACGTGAAAAAAAGTATTAAAATTTATGAATATCTAAAACCGTTCATTTGGCCGAGTGATTGGACGGAATTTACGGTATGTCCTAGTGATTAAATTTAACTGTCCCAGTGTCTGGACGTAACATTTAATAAATAATTCATAGCTGATTTTTAACAGTAAAACATGATACCTTTCTTTTATGTTGTCAAAATTCAAATAAACATGTAACAAATTTAATTCACTGTAATAAATAAAAGAAATAAAATTATAGAATTAAATGTCGTTTCGGCCTAAGGCACACCACAGACCCCAAAAATGTTTACTTCACTTGGCGGTTATTTAAAGAAAAAGATTCTTTTTTTTGCAATCTCATGTCATTCGTCTGATTCTTCCGGGTCACCGGAAATGGAAGAAGGGAACAAAAAGAACGAGATGAGGGGAAAAATCGGGATAGACAAATTGTCCGATCCAGTTTATCATGGCCGGCATATTCTCCCCCGGTTGAAAGCATTTTCCCGCCGAATATTTTACGGGCGTGTCACACTCCGGTTCAGTGCCAGACAGAGGACACCTAATCAACCCCCTTCAAAGGCACACGTTTCTCATTCCACCTGTCTCCGAGGACCGTTTTTTTGTACTTTTTTTTGTCACGGTACTCACATGGTATTGCCATGGTTGAATCGCTCGGATCTGGACTGTACTCCTCGTTCGGGAAATAGTCGATGCTCGAGCACTCGTATTCCATCCGGGAACCTGCGGAAAAACAAAAGGATAGTGATTCGTACGCTGGCACGCGTCATCGTGATATGCGCATTTCCGAAGCTCACGCCGTTCAGGAATCGCTTGATAGCCAACCAAATTTCGTCTCTGTTTTCGGCAATATGTACTAGGTTCAATTTACTCACTCTTCTCGTCTCTCCTTTCACGTTATCGATTTCTTATCGTACGTCTGTAGTGCCACTGGGATATATGTATAGGGTAATTAAGGGGTTAAGATTATCTCGATGTGCTTAACAAGATATCGCAAGTCTTCGGAATTTATTTCTAAGCGATATGAACCCCTTTTTCGATCAAAATTTTTCTATAAAGACAGAGACATGTGTGAATAATATATACAAATTTCAATTGACCAAGTTGACAGACGTGGGAATGTTTCGATATTTTAATTTTTATCTGACTCATGTGTAAATAAAGGGCCATTTTTTAGCAAAAGGTGAAACTTCTTTCAAAGTGTCGGCATTTTGTTATTTCTCAACCAAATGAAAGAATTTTACGTCGAACGATAGACAACTTAGATTTATTTAATATTTCATTGTTTAAATTTTGTCACCTTATTCATGATAGAAGATTTCATCAGCCAGTTGTCATCAACTATTTCATATTACACAGTTACAAAGTATCATGCTGAAAATGTCAGTCTATTACTCTAATGAAGAAATGGCAGATATGCATTTTAAGTATGGTCGTGCTGCTAATGGAATTGCTTTAGCTGCACGAAGTCTTTAAAATGGCAAAGTTTCCTAATCGAAAAGTTCCCTCTCATACGCTGTTTCAAAATCTTTACCAACGTTTTTGTGAGTCGGGCTCATTTAGAACTCGCCATTGGCAGACCTAGTCTGTGTCGACGCCCAATACAGAGAATCGTATTTTAAGGATTATAGGAGATTATCCCAGAATCAGCGTAGGATGAACATCCGATGCCGCAGGAATCGGTACTACTCGTGTCTGGAGAACACTTCATAAGCAGTTACTCTATCCATACCATATCCAACGAATGCAAGCACTCTACCGGACTATCAAGCAAAAATAGAATTTTCACAGTGACTCGTGAAATATACTTCGAATCCGAATTTTGTATCTGGAATTACAAATTTCCATAATGATCCCGTATGGGCAGAAGAGAATCCTCACGTATTTATACAAACAAATTACCAACATCGTTTTTCGTTAAACGTTTGAATGGGTATTATGGGAGATCATATCATTGGTCCTGTAATACTTCCAAATCGGCTTTCAGGTGCTGCTTATCTCAATTTTTTGATGAATATATTACCTCGGTATTTGGACGATGTGCCGTTGGCAGGAAGATTATCGATGTGGTACATTCATGATGCTCCACCTCATTTTGTGTGTAATGCGAGAGAGCACTTAAACACGGTGTCCGGTCAAAGGTGAATTGAACGTGGTGGACCAGTTGTATGGCACCCTTGATCCCCCGATTTAAACCCTTTGGACTTCTTTTTATGGGGATATTTGAAAAGCCGATACATGACTTAGAACAATTACGTAAAAGAATCCACCATGCTTGTTAAATAATTCGAGAGGGATGTGGAATTTTCGACAGAGTTTGGGACTCAGTAAGAAGAAGATACCAAGCGTGTGGAAATGGAAGGAGATGTGGAACACTTTCTACAAATACGTACAGCCAGTAGTAAGTCAATCATGATGCTAACATACAAAAATGTTTATATGTATATTAGAAACCGTTGACCTTTTGACCTAAGGCTTTTTTACTCACTACAGTGTATCCAATCCATGTACCACATAAATATTGAATGGTTTTTTTAAACACTCTGTATATCATTTCACTTTTAATTACTAAGGAAATACAGTTGCATTCGAATGAAAAATGATATCGTACAATTTACGTGATTGGAAAGAAAAAATGCAAGGAATAACGAAAATAGTCTAATTATGTTTGTTCGACCAGTGAAGAGAATGGGAATAGAAACAATTTAAAAGAACTTACACAGAAAACGTTAAGTGAATTCGGAATTAACCGAGTAACCACTGAGAACATTCAATTCGAATGTACGGAGCCAGTAAATTGTTCAACCTTTCTTGCTATCGTCGAATTATACTGCCTTTTTCATTTCACATTTACAACCTTGGATTTAATTGAAACTGATCCAGCGAAGAAAGGGTAGTTTGTGACCTGTGAACTTCGAGCGTTTTCGACGCCCGGTTGTTAGACTCGCGTGCCCCATGACCGTTCTCTTTTTATACGATTTGATTTAACTGGATCAATACCACCCCCAGTAAGATCTTATACATCCTCCTAGTGCTCATCTACGACACTAAAACGTCAAATGCATAGATCTCTGGTTTAATAGTGGCAAGAAAGTTGATCCCATCAAAATGTACCAGAAAGTGATACGAAAGGCAACGAAAACAAAAATGTTCTTTGGTAACACTTTCGCAGCCGGCTGTTTTTAGGCTAGATCCTTAGCTGAATGCCGCGTAACATTTTCAAAAGTGTATAGCTGAATACCTGAGTTCTGCTATTTAAAAGTATAACGGTTTAAAATTCACGTTTTCAAAACGTTGAACTGCTCTAGTTAGTTATGATATAAAGAGAACATTTAACATGATAAAAAGTTAAAATCAAGGTAATGGCCACCTTGTTAGAGAAAGGCAGGTGATGAATGGTACATATTTTGAAATGATGTATAACTACGTTATCAACACTCAGCTAAAGACTTTATGTTCCGTCGTAGACCGAAACGACGGTTATACAGTCAGACGATACCGTTACTTTTTATTATTTTATTCCTTTTTTTCAGTCAATTTATATATTTTGCAAGACCGACCCTTTGCAATTTTAATTTCGTTAACACAAAGAGAATAATAAGTCACAGTTGAACGTCAATAAATGATTGATGTTTACTTTCAGTTTGTGACAAAAGATGAACCAGAACCATCGATTTTTTCTGAATCGAATATTCAATTAAAAACAGAGTTCCCTCCTTTCTTTGTCATTATACAACCTTAAAAGTAATGGGTGTATATATAGGGTGGAACAAAAATGTTGGAGGACTCAGAAATGGGAGACTCGTGAGGTGATTTGAAACAAGTTTTTCCTTAGCAAAAATGTTATCCGAAGTTTTGTTAACGAGATATTAACGAAAAACCCCGACCAATCAGAGCGCGAGTCTGCCGGTCGAGTTCCCGTGGTATAACGTTGGCTACCAATCGCAGCGCGTAGCCAACATTACCGCGGGAACTCGGCTGGAAGGTTCGCGCTCTGATTGGTCGGAGTTTTTTGATAATATCTCGTTAATAAAACTTTGGATAACATTTTTGCTAAGGAAAAACTTGTTTCAAATCACCTCACGAGTCTCCCATTTCCGGGTCCTTCAACATTTTTGTTACACCCTGTATAGTGTTCATCAATGAGATTTTCAGAAATTTGTAACAAATTCCACATTTCATTGTAAATTGTTCAGTGACAAATTCTCGAAATCTTTTTTCTCCATAAATCGGCGCAAACGTGATATTTTAATCGAGGCAACAAAATTCCGATCTCGAAACATTTATCCGGAAAACGACCTGTCATAACGGATTAACAAAAACCGTGTTTTCATTTCTCTTTTCGCGAGTTATATTCCGTTCGTATTTGTCTAAAGAATTGGAAAACAGTTTATATTTTACGTGAAACACAGTGTATCATTGTTCGTGGGGATCACAATGTATATTCAACGTACTGCCGACACGTTCATTTCCAATCAGTACGAAATTCCTGAATGTAGTAAAAACGGAACCGCAATCTAAATAATTCCATCTTGTAGCAAATTATCGAACACACAGAAACACACACACACACGTATACCCTGTTACGCGAGTGAAATTAAACGGAAACATGCGGTAAAACGCAAACGTATTCCCAGTATATTTGCCTTTGTGGGCTGTAATTAAATTGTAACCGGTGGACGCACGACGGTGAATGCTGGCATCGCGATCGGGTGAGATGTAGCGCGGCTATTATGTAAATTCCGGTTTTCAATGGTATTTCGAATAAATCCCGAGGCGATAGGCGCCTGGCCATCGAAACGTTTCTCAAAATGATCCGCGTCCGGGGTAGGCAAAGCGACAGCCTTTACAGTTGCGTGGCGAACCAATAGGGACGGGAGGGACCCGCGGCTTTGGTGAACGGGGAAAGGGGAATTGGGTTGGCAGCCGTGGAACAGTCATTTCCGGCTCGTGCCGGATGTCGGCCTTATTGCCTCCCTTCGACGACCGAGAATCAATATTCCAGATTCGTTGCCGGTCGTGCCCATTGGCATTGGCATAACAGAAATAATAACTTACAGTCGGTGCGTATCCGCGTTACACAACGATCTACCGCGGCCACTGTTCGACCGTGACCACTCGGATGTGTATACACGAACCTTTGGCAACTTCCCATTCGAGCGATTCCACCGATCGGTCGAGAAAACGCGAGTCGAACCAAGCAGAACGATTCGAAGTCTTTGCCTTTAAACGGACAATTTTGGGCTTTTTGATTGGGCCCTTGACATTTGAAGAGTACAGTGGAGAAATGACGAGGGGTGATTTTTCTTCTGTTATGACTAGACTGCGGATTTTATGCATTTATAACCCATAGGGCTCTGTGAAGTACAATAAAAAACAAAACTTTCATTGGATTCAACGAGTATTTTATTTTATTCTGAACCCAATATAATACTTAAAGGGGAAAGTAAGTTTCTATGATTGCTCTTGTCTTTATAAATTACTTTAGAAACATTTATTTTGCATGAAGATCCGCAGTCTAGTTATGACATTTGAATATATGTATATACAGTGTGTTCGGTTTGTTTGAGAACACTCAAATATCTCGAAAAATATGAATTATACGGAAACATATTTCAGACAAAAATTGTATGATATCGAGGGCAACATACTGTACTCTTGTCTATTTGACCTCATGATGACCTTGAAAGGTTCTGTGAAGGTGGTATTAAAATGTTTAAATG